AATCCAATCAACCATAAGTCTTTACAGTTAGTAGTGGTTTCATTTATATATTTTATAATAACTGCAATGGGTGAGAATGTTACATGTATTGCCTAATTCAAAAGCTTTTAATTACTAAACTAGACAACAAAACAATTTAAACCAAACGTGACAAAAGAATGATATTCGGCAATAAAAATAGACACCACGGAACAGTTGAACCAAATAAACAAAGAAAACAAAACACACAGAAGATAACAAAAAATTAATCAGTTGGAGAAAGTACTTCGGATCTTCTATAATTTCGAAGAAAGAACTAAATTCATTATCAGATTTGCAAAAATAATAACATTATAGGTGAATGTGGATTCTCTATACATAATTATAAAAGATATGGAAAATCAGAAGACATGCAATCTATAGACTTAAGTAGGAATTGCAGTTCTTCTCCCTTTTAGCGATTAGGGAGTTTACTGCGTAAATGATATTAAAAAAGACACATATATACATATTTCGAAAAAGTACATTTTTATTTTAGCTTAAGAGAAAATTCCAAAAGAAAAAAAAAGGAAATTCAAGAAATAAAAAAAATATTAACTTTGGTTAAAAATATATAACGGCTATTTCTTCCTCTATATAGAATAACAACAAGTACAAGTACGGGCCTTGTCTCGTATTGAACCAACTTATGCCATATTTGGACAATATCTCCAGTAATTCCATTCAAAGTCTTAGAAGGGTTAGGAAGTTCCTTAAAACACCTATAGTTTATTCTCATTGCCAATTGGGTTAAGAGCAGAACTCGTTGCACAATCTGAGCAACATGCGGTTCAACCTTATCTTGCTGAAACAAAATATTCTCACCAATATAAGGGCCAAATGGTATCACATGTTCTACCAGGATCTCCCTTATGCGCCTGTTTGCTGATAAACTGCCATTATTAATAACGAATAAGTCACTAGGAGCAGTTCTATAGTGATTTGATTTGATTGATTGATCTTCTATAAATTCTTACGTCTATTTGGGTTGTAGAGACTGGCTTCATCTGAAAAAACTCTTTCGCAGCATTCATCAGCCGAATTGATGTATTCTTTAGCCAAATTTAACCTTGCTTTCCGGTGCTCTGGAACCAAAACTGGTTTTGCGCCCAGTTTCTTCAGCGTCGATTAAAAGTAGCAGTGCAAGATTCTGAGTTTAGCTTCCTGTAGCTGTGTCTGCACAAATCTTTCTGTCACAAACTGTTGTCTTAAAACAGATACTCTTAAAAATATACCAAATCTTTGTCCACTTCTTCGAAAGCTTCATCCCATTTCCATTAAAATGACTCTTCAGCGCTCAAATTTCTAGATTAGCGTTTCATAATAAACACTTATAACTAAACGGTACCTCACAAATATAAATTTACAAAAAACGAAGAAACAAAATAAAATAAAGAGACCTATAAAAAAAACAACTGTATAAGGTATATATTTTGTTTATACCCCCTTCGTGATCTTGAATGTGAAGGGTAATCAATAATCGAAAACGACGTCCTAACAGAAGAAAAGCAATTCGTAGTTCTCCTGTATTTTGAAGAAAACAACGAAAATTCGTAAAGAAATGCATCCCGAGATCTACCGCATATTAGTAAAACTACTATCCAACAGAACTTTAAACAAGACTTTTTTATTGTTCCCTTATGATGGACCACTACTTTGAAAGTGATTTAAAAACAAATCTATTCACCTATGAGGCAATTTTCAATAATACGGCCGGTATGTTTAACACAAAAATTACCCATGACTGGCGTATCTCAAATAAAAATCGTGTAATAGTATCTTATGCAACAAGTGCGGTAAACGGCATTTGACTCACGAGTTTATTTGACACGAGCGAAGCGAGTGTTTAATAAACGAGTGACTTAAATAGTTTACCGAACGTATTGCATACTATACTTTTTTTACGATCGTTAGTTTTTGGGTACATTTTCGCAAAACAGCACGCATACATTCACTGCCATGACCGTCAGAATTGACAAATGTCAAATTTCAAAGCCCCACGCCAAAAACATCCGATTGCTCCCAAACTCGTGTGGTAAAACCCCGGATATGTCCGAAGTCCGAAGTCCGATATTAAAAAAGATATTGTTTTTCCACATTACCTAGGTGCCAAAATAGCCATAATAGTCATGTCTTCTACAGAATTGCCAGTAACGTTGCTGATCATCTTCTTAAACTTTAAAAATTTTGCGTATGATTTTTTGAAATCGTTATTTTGAAAAATTTTCAAACGACAGGAAGCGGTAGTTGCCATTTCTGTGTTGGATTTTTCTATTTTTCGACATACTTCCCCATCAATTTTAGATACATGACCTTATACAAAGTCACCCCCTTTTAATGCTAAATACTACCAAAATATAAAAATTGGGTGCTTACATTTGAAAAAAAAAATACTTTTAACGATTTTTGATGTAATGATAATAGAAACAAATTATATAGATATATTTGATATCGGTAATATACAAAATTATAAACTTATAAAACTATCATGCGGAAGTGCTTGTGAGAAATTGTTTAAATCAACGTTTTCCGTTTTGGATTGGTCGGTACGGGACGATGGATTGGCCAGCGAGGAGCCCCGACTTGACACTTTTGGACTTTTTCTGATAAGGTTGCATAAAAAACGAAGTGTTTAAAAATAGGTATAATAGCGTTTAAGACTTAAAAATGAGAAATCGGCAAGATGTAGAAAGAATTAATGCAACAGACGCGGTTAGAAATGCTATTGGCAAAATTGAAACCATATATACTACTTGTATTGTCAAAAGATATGGATAGGAATATTTTGTAATTAGTAATAGGTTCTATTTACTTGCATTACTTGTTGATTTTTTGTTAAATTTAATTAATTAATGTTTTTAAAAAATTAGAATAATGTATTATATCGGTTTAGTTGGAAATAAAATACGCTAGTTGCAGAAAATTGGCCATAACTTATCTACCAATTTTTGTAATAAAAGCCATATGTCGAAACTCTATATAGCGAAATTCGAAGGACTGCTTTTTTTTCGTTATAAAGAGTTATAGGCACTTGAAAAATAACAATACGCATATGTGTTCTGTAATAATCATGTTATATACATATTTTATTTTAATGTTTCTAATAATCGGTCATTTTCTTTAGAATTTTTTTAGTATGCCAGTACGCATCTCGTACTTTGGCTTGTATTTTTACCATTTCTTCGAGAGGGGCATCTTCCCCATGATACATAAAAAATTTCTATAGCAGCTTAACTGAATATAGGGCTTGTTGAATGGTTGGTGGTAGTCCCAGATCAACTTCTTCATCTTCTATTTCCTCTGGCTGCTATTCCTCACCCTTTCTTGCTTGTTGTAAAATGGCTTCCTCTGTCAAGTCTGCTGTTGTAGACAAATCCTGATATATCACCATAAAATCTTGCAACTCCTCATTTGTAAACGTAATTGTTGTTTGAAACTGCTTTATCCACTCGCTTAGTGGCTGATCATCTTACAAGTCCTGTTCGCATTCTTTCCAAGCTTTACTAATTAAGTTGTCTGCATCTAGCATATTAATGGAAAATTGGTCTTTGGACTCGATCATTTTCATTAAAATGTTTTTCCCGTATCGACTCTTAAGACTTTTTATTACGCTCTGGTCCATCGGCCGTAATACACTTGTTGTTTTGGCTGGAAGAAATGCAATATTCCCTAGATTTGGAATATGGGGTTTGTCCAGGGCAGTTTGCCTTGCAAGTGACCGGCAAATGTTTGATGTTCTTAAAACATCGTGGGTTAATTGATTTTCCAATCACGACTAGCTTTCTTTTTTCTCTCCCACTCATATTGGCAGCTACTAATACTGTTATACGTTCTTTAGAAAGTTTTCCAAACACACACTGTACCCTTCGAAATTTAAGAGTATAATCTGGCATCATTTTTAACAAAAAACCAGTTTCGTCAACATTAAAAATGCCGTCTGCTAGTTTTGGCCATGTCTTCTCCAGCCAATCGTTGGTGACGTTTCTGTTGACATCACCTTCAACCATCATCTTGAATCGATAATGCCAAGCTGTTCAGCAAACTTGTCTTCTTTTAGTTTTAGGATAGGTCCAGAGAGTGGTACATTTTTAAGACGTTGCTGTTGGAACCACTGCAACATTGTCCGAACCAAATATTCAAATTTTGGCTTTCTTAGTTTTTTACTAGACCTGACTGCCGCTTCAGCCTGAATGATTTTTTCTTTGCACTTCGAAATCGTGGATACAGTTGACGGTGTAAGTCCGTATCGACGTCCCACATCACATCACTTTTCTTTTCTCCCCGTTCTATCTCCCGAATTAAAGCAACTTTATCATCTAGAGTTCGCCTTATTCACTAAGTGAAATTAGAAATGATCGAAACAATGGTGTGCTTTTATACATACCGATAAAGGCGTTAACGTAATCGCTTATTACGAGAAAAACACTTAGGACGACCAGGTTCTCGGTAATTAGAATTAGAAGAGACTCTATTAATTTCAAGTCGGTCTACATTCCTTACTGTGTTACTTGATGTGCTCTTTTTTCTTTCTGTATAGAGAGTAAAAAATTCGTTGTACAGAGTACGTAGCTTTGTATGGAGACCTAATAGTACAACTAATTTTTGTTCGTTCGTTTTACATTGTACAGAGTTTGGCTATAGTGAGTTTTCACTGAAGCACTACAGAATTAAATTACAAACCAAATAATAGAACTAAATTTAAAAAATTGAGTGTTTTTAATTAGAAAAACCATTTTTTTATGGCCATTTGTTGCCCTGTATAATATATTTTCGCCATAGAGATAGATAGACAATTTCCAAATTTAGTTTTCCAGTGCTAAAAAAATGCATTGTTCCAAAGACTTGAACACCCTGTATACCTAAAAACACTATAAATAAAATATATGTTTAGAGTCGAGCACTTTTTATATTCATTCTTGTTTCCCTCAATGTAGTACCGATTGACCGATTGAGATAACGTATGTAACTGTTTTCGGACTTACCTGGCTGTCTTTCAGGCCCAGTTTTTCCGCCAGTTTTTTCCTGTCCGGCTTGCTTATGTACTTCTGTATTTGGAACCGTCGTTCGAGTCCTTTCCGTTGAAGGTCGCTGAACACCGCCCGCCGCATCATCCCTCTCCTGGGTTTTCCGCGGCCGCTGTGCGCCCACGGGAAACTGCCCGGTAACGGAAACACCGTCGCCTGGTTTCCAGACATCGGGGCTGTCACTGAAACGTTTTAGTTTTGAATTTTCCTCCCCGTTTGACTTTCCGCGAACTTAACCTATATTTCGAAGTCCGGTTCCAAAAAAGTTAGAAATCGGTTAAAAATTGTGTCATTTGATCAAAATATTTCATGGTATATTGCTTAATGGAATTGCTAAAAGTGTAGTGCCTAGAATTTTTCAAAGAAACTAAGCTAAAGTTACTTTAATACTATTTGAAAACTTCTGGATCCCTCCTGCATCGGTTGTTGTAAAATCGAACTTGCTGATGTTGGCTTCTTCAGAGCTTGACTGAAACTGGCTAATATTCTCCTGTGTACCTGCTTATATATTGCTAATTTGTTAATAGTTTTACAGTAGTCTAAAGATGGTTCTTTGAAAAATTAACAAGTCTTTATAGAGAGCATATCAAGCGCAAAAGCTGAAGGCTAGAAGATCACCGCCTACACTGGTAAGATTAGTCAGTGTACACTACGCTTTGTTGAGACCATAACGTTGTCCCTAATTTTCTTAAAATATTCCATCATGTCAAAACCTCATTAACTAATTAAATTTCCAAACTTTTTGTTTGTTGTTGTTTGTTTATACATTAAACTTACTGATATTTCCACTAACTTCCCGTTGGTTCTTCAGAGCTTAAGTGAAACTGTCTCAGATTCTACTCTGTACGTCTCTATGAACATTGTCTCGAATGACTGATTCCCATATAGATATTCTTATCAATAGAAAATTAGATCTAACATTGGCTCATACTGTTTATAGAAAACCACACAAACCGACACTTTAATGCATGGTCACATCACCAGCTATATTATGAGCTCGAAAGCAACCCCCCACACTTGACACTGTTGTCTTTCCTTACATTCAAAACGAGATTTATCATTTATCCAAAAATCAATCAATGAATCAATTCTTCTACCAAAGAAAAATCCGAGAGTCCATAGCAATCTAACCTGGATTTTGTTCTTTATTATTGTCATCACATTTGGGTTTCAAAACAGTGATAAGAATTTATTAGATATTTATGCGATTGCGTCTGATTGTTCTTGTGGTAAGAAAAAATACTTTAAAAGCGTTAGCAATATCCAGGACTTTGCTATAAATTTTTTTAATAAAAATAAGTGAACGAAAATATCTATTTTATATATTTCCAAATCTTTGAAAGAGCGTAAAAAAATATATCACCTAGTTTCACGGTGATTATTTTAAAAGTTCTTTATATTTACCTATATTTAGTTCAAATTGATCAGATGTGGGCAAGCTAAACAATATTTTCTTCTTACTAGACACAATAAAAAAATTCGTTACGAATGTTGTTAGCAAAGTGCATAATATGCCTTTTCACGCCGTTGGAAAACAAGTGGAAGAAAGAAAACCGACTGCTGGCTACGGCAATATATTTGCAAGCCAGCTATAAAAAATTCTCTTCAAACATAGGAAGACCTCTTCAAAAATTCTCTTCAGCAAGTGAGACAACAAATTGGAGACAATTCAAGGAATTAGTTGCAGTATAGCCTAATCAAAACAGGGCACAGAAATGTAGCAAGTGTTATAAAAAAGGCCATAGCTTCTAGTCCTACCACCATGCTTTCTATTATACTCTCTTTTTCATAAATTTCTACAGTAAAAGTTAAGCGCCATTATAAAGTGTAAAAATTATCTTAAAATTCAATACTTTTCTATTTTGAATATTTTTTTCTATTTTTCTCCAAAAAATAAACTCTTGTGATCACAGAAATATGTTTTGATACTTTAATATGACCAATAATTGGTTTATTTCAAAATTAAGTTGCTAGCAAAAATTTTCAATAATTTATTTACCTATAATAAAACCTTTTTTAAGGGAATCTGTATGTCCTTCTGTCAATGACTAATATAGTAAACAAATTGCAATAAATAATAATCTATATGTATATTTATTTACTTCCATTAAATGAAGTGTTTTATATCCGCTAGTGAGAAAAATGCCAATAATAAATTTTTGCACACTTTCCAGTATTTTCTTAATCCAAAAAATAACCAAATGATGGTTCAAAAACTTTTACCGCACCTATAGCAACCGAATATGAAAATTATAATTTAAATTTGCCATAGAGTTGTTGTGTTCATAATTCGTAAGTTGATTATGAGTTGAGATAAAAAGGCAATTAGATTAGCAAACTAGTAGTATTTTTTCGACTGATTACGATGGTCAAAACAGAAAAACAATTAATTTTAGGGTTTAGAAAAAATGATGAAAATGTACTCTCTTTTAATGCAACACCCTATATATTTCTTAATTTAGATTCGGTATCATTCTAATTTGTGTCTGTGTGCGTTTGAGTTGACGTCTGAATAAATGAATAATTAAATCCTTATAGTTTCTAAAAGACTGAGACAATTTTTATTATAACAAATGAAAGAAGAAAATGGAGTTTTATTTTGCAACCACTCAGCTATCTATGTGTGCTGATAATCCGGTTATTTTCAATTTTAGGCTAATATTGCGTATTATTAAATTTTTTGTTCTGTTGGTGATTTACGATCTTTGGAGTAAAAAATACATAGGGTGTTCTATTAAAAAAAAGTACATTTTTCTCATTTTATCCTAAACCCTATATTCAATTGGTAATTTAATCGATTTTGTGTCTCTAGTTTTAACGAAAGGAGAAACGAATAATTTGTTATAAGTAACAGACTGCGAAACTGACTTTGAGAAACCGATTTCTTAAATGTATATAAATATTAAAGAGTTAATTTTAAGAATATAGAATACTCATATGAACATTACGCTATTTTAGGTATATACAAATATTCTATTTACTTGAAAACTTGAAACACCTTTTATTATTTACTTAACCTACTACTTTCACTATTTACTTAAATCAGTTAAGCTCTGAAGAAGCCGACAGCATGATTGGCGAAACGTCAGCGAATTCAACTCAACAACAACCGACGCAGCACGAATCTGAAGCATTTGTAAATAGCATTACAGTAGCCTGTGACGTTTCTTCGCAAAAATTGCACCTTATTACCCTTAAATTTTTAAAGTTTTTTCTAGTTTAACCATCTTCGTATCTCTTATGGTTTGCAAAAGCCGCATGGGAAACATCTTGATCTTGGACATACTGTATTGTTTTTTTTTGAAATTTCGGACTGATCCACCCGGTATACGTATATAAATCGACGTCAAAAACGACACGTTCCGACAAATCAACACCCTCGACGTGACCGGCGTGACAAACGCCCCTAGGGGGGGTGGACGCCGTAAATTTACGCTGTCCCTTTTCTCACCTGTCAAGTAGGGCTGGGGCCTGCAGTGCGCCGCCAGCAGCATGTGGGGGTTGAAATGGGGCGGCCGGCTAGCAACAGGTTTGGCTATCGAGGGCGAGTGCGTGCCCCCCGTCGTAGCGCCGCTGATGTACGACGTCAGCCCCAGCAGGCTCGGGGGAGTCACGTGGATAAGATTTTCTGAAAAAAAAACCGTGAAAGCGAAACTTTTAATTAAATATTAGGTGCGTACAATTACCACCTTTTCTACCAAAGATAAATTGACCATAGTTATTACCCAAACAGAATGAAAATATCAATTAGCTAGTGAACTAGTCAGTCGAATATTCGCTAATCGATGGCAAACAACGATATGCTGACGTCATTCAATTTTACATTTAAATTAAAAATCCTTGTGTTGTTGATCAACATTTAATGAAACCATTCGATGAAGAATTAATACTGGAAAAATGTTTTGTATCGAGTAATTGCGATTATTAAATTCCCTTGCGATTTAGGACATTCAGAACGAATTGGAGATCCCCATAATGAAAATTTTTTAGGTTCAGAATATGATCCGTTTTTATCGGAGCATTTAAAATTATATGAGCACCTTGGCAATGGAAATACCTCTTATTTATCTAAAACCAAAGAGTATAAGATAGAGGGGAAGGTCGTGCATACTGTTACCAATGCCATCTAATATTTGTGTCCAAGTACTAAAGTACTGTCATGACGGTTTAAAGTAATGCGTCACACTGAAAATACTACAGTAGCTTCTAACGGATAACACCACTTTATTTATATTTTAATAACCATTTTTTTAAAACTCTTTCGACATATTTTTTTTTTTTACATTTTGCCTTTCAAACTCTAAATTGAATTGAACCGTACGTCCCGCGCGTTTTCCGTTTTCATGACTGGACACAATCACTAAAGGCGTTGAAACAATCTATAAAGAAATCATATTACATTGGGAGCTCTGGTTGAATTTGGAAAGGGCTAGTATTGGCATGGGACGACTTAGGCGGTCTGCATCAGTTCCTCGTTGTTTCATTTAGTTTCAGGCACTATCATTATTCTAGTTCTTACAGTGAATATGATCAGTTTAAAAAACTTGTATAGTTTTATTTTATGCATCATTTGTTTACGAAAAAGTTTCCTTTTGTTCAATGCGCCCATCTAAGTCATTGAAGAATACTTAGGATGAGCATTTACAAGAAAAATCCATAATTAATATACATAACAGTTGACATTCAGCACAGTTAAAGCAAAGGCTTGTTGCGACAGGTTCATTGTTTCCATATGAGGCCACCTTAGACCACAGTATAGCAGCACTAACCTGTCTTTTCCTTTTCTGCTCATTGCTCTGACTATGACGTAGGTGCTATTTTTTGCACTAGAATCGATAAAAGGGCACCGCCATTGTTGACTTCACGCTGATGTTCGAGATCAACTTTGTTCGCGACTAGTGGGAAGGTTTGGTGATGTGATTTATGACACTATAAACTACCACAAATCTTTGGTCATTTTTAATGTAGAGGTTGAACATATTAGCAAGTTTCTTCGTACTTGCCGTATCTAAGCATTTCCAATACGCAAGGTGAGTTATCTTCGATCACTTTACGATAACAATCTTCGATAGTAGGGTCATACTTCCTCCATAAGACAGCCGGATATGAATTGTACAGTCACTGCACTTTCCTCATTCCAATTCGATTCGAGGACTACTTTAAATCATAATTGTCGAAAGATTTCGAGAATTTATCCCAAATACTGGCGATAGGGCTAAATATATTAAAGATGCTCTATGTTAAAATCTCTTGTAATTTCAACACATCACTGGAAGATCTTATTACAGCATACAAGTTTAAGTTTAATAGCCTTTCTCAAACTCATTGGTCTGCTCCACATGATGCACGCTACGCATTAGAATGAGAGTGGCCTGAAATAAACTTATTTATTTATTGCTGAAAAAAGGTTGAAAATCCCACTACGCGATCTGAAGCTAGGGGGCTGCAGCAAAAATTGCAACATCTAGAAACGGCGATTTTAGACATTGTTTGGAATGCCATTTTAGATCGTTTTAATGCTGCCAGTCAGAAACTTCAGTACTATCATCTGTGATACAAATGTGGAAGATCTTGGGAATTATTTTTATAAGGCATGAGAGATAAACAACTCTCGGAATATGGAGAAAAAGCCAAAGCACCATCTGGAGTTCAGAATTATAATCGTTTTGATAACCGTCGTAAAAGAATCCGAAAATTCAAACAGAATGAACACGGGAGAATGAAAGAACATCTTCATCTGGAGAAGAAAATTTTCGAACCATCGTTGATTATCGAATTTTGGATACTTTAAGTGTGCAATTGGCATCACGTCGAAGTGTAATGTAGATACTAAGTATCCTGATGATATGGAAGAGACTTTAGACTTTAGATGGATACATTCCTCACTATCAGCTCAAAGATTCGCTATTGGACAATGTGATGTGCGTTCAATTTATCTTGATAACATTTTAATTGACTGTAACTTTTTTGTTGTTAGAGGTATCAAGGTAAACAAAAGAATAACAAAATGTATGGTTAGTAGCCAAGTCTTTTTCCCAAGTGATCAATAAATTTTCTGACATATAAGCCTATATAATATATTTTTAAATGGAATACCCTGTATATTACATATGTGTTTAATAGAATATCTTATTCCGATTACAATGATGTAACACACATTATATTTTAGTAAACTCATTTTTGACAAATCGGCAAAAATAGGAAATTTTTATATAATTTCAAAGAGTGCCCTGACTGACAAATAAAAATGTTTATATTTGACATTTAAGTAAACGATGTTGATGGTTGAATTATTGTCAAGTCATTATTCTTAAAATGGTTTTTGCGAAAGAAGTGATATGCTTCAAGTACACTTTCTGAATAATAAACGTGCAACCGCAGCTTGTCGTCAGTGTATTAGATTTTATCCAAAGCGCTGAGCTTCTTCAAAGCAGACATTCCCAAGGCTTGCAAAGAAATTTACAGAAAACGGTAACGTATTAAATGCTAATCATAATGTTTTAAATGGAGAAAATAAGGCAAACATATTAGGATTCTATGAAGCACAGCCAGTTTCCTCTATTACTAGAGTATAGGACGAAAGAGATACTTCTCGGGGATCAATCCACTCAGCTTTAAAAGAATGCATTTAAATTTCGTAAAACTCAGAACTAATTGCAGAACAATGCCAAATGTCAGTTTTGTTTGGATTTTTTAAAGAGACATAATAAAAACAATAATTTTTTGAAAACCACCACAAGAAAGTGTTGACAAAATACGCGATATTGGTCTTTAAATAATCCTACAGAAATATACGAAAAAAAAACCCAGGGGTACTAATCAATTAATGTATGGTGAAAGGCAAATTATGGGTCTGATATTTATAGATCTAAAGCTACCTGGAGATCATTATTTGCAACTCTTAGAGCACCAAAGAGAACAATCTATAGAAGATTTACCCACATATATAGCAGCGTTGATTATGTGGTCGCAAGACTGTGCCCCTCTTCACAATGTGGTTCAAGTTAAAATTAAAAAAAAATAAAACGGCGGAACTATGGATTGGCCAGCCAACAGCCCCGACTTAACTTTAATGGATTTTTTCTTTTGGAGACACATAAAAAATCACGTGCACAGAACGCCTTGTAATTATGCTGTAGACCTTCGACAAAGGATTTTAGAGGCAATGAATCAGTTAAGAGACAATCCGGAAACGTTACTAAATGCAAGACATCATACAATTAGAGTGTATGAGAAATGTGTTCAGAAAAATGGTGTCTTGCCATTTTTAATGTTTTTGTTCTGCTTTAATTAGTAAATAATTATTGTTGTACTCAGTCAAATTAATAGACTAATAAAAATTTCCAATTTTTGACGATTTGTTAAAAACGATTGGACTAAAATATAATGTGTAATTGTAATCGGAATAAGATATTCTATTAAACACATATATAATATACAGGGTGTTCCATTAAAAAAATGTGATGTAGGCTTATATGACAGAAGATTGATAGGGTTTTGCTTTATACGTCACTAGGAAAAAACTTGGCTACTAACCTTTGATTGTTTTTTTGTTTACCTTGATATCTCTAACAACAAAAAAGTTACAGCCAATTAAAATGTTATCAAGATAAATTGAACGCACGGTACGTTCCGCCCAAGGAATATGCAATGTGTTACATTCTCGGAATCTTCGAAGATATTTATCCGAATGTAGACATTGCATTACGTATTTTTTTGAGTAGTCTCGTTACAAACTGTTAAAAAGAATATAAATTTTTCCACCTTGAAAAGAGTAAAAACAAAAGACAAAAGCCAGCAAGAAGATATTTATCAATTTATCACTAATTAAATATTTATTTGTGTTGTTTAACAATTATACTTCAATAAAACAAAAATAATATGTCTATTAAAACGGGCGGCAAATAAGACAGGGCCTAGGGCGTAAAAAGGCTACATCCGCCGTTGAACTCTAATAATAATAATAATTGTGGTTGCATCACAGCAGCTTGTTTTATCAACATATAGTTCATCAGGCCACAGTGAGGAGGCGCTGTTTCCCTGTTTTTAAATTTTCACGCCGAGGTTGCTCGTTCAAATATTGTTTTTCCCTCCGTGGATTAAATAAAGTAAAGCGTTGCCAAAATTGGTTCCTAATAATCCGACGTGCGAAAACAGTCCCGACGGCGTCACTCAAGGAGGAAACTACGTCACACACTTCAACACCTCCGCCAAGTGCGCGGCGAGGCGGCTGGGATAGCACGTTTCCCTTTCCACTCGCCATGGGGTGGGGGATCGGGTAGTCAAGGCAACCGCGACTCTCTCGATAAGTGTCTTCGCGTTTGATAGGTTCTGGGTCCCGTAAACTATGAACTTTGCGACATATTGTTTCGGGTCGGGATTAATTGGGACAGCGTGGCGGCGTTCAGGGACGATTTGTCGACGTTTATTGCATGAATTATGCAAAATTGGGCCACGCGTCGATCCCGACAACGAAACCCCCTACTCGATGTCGCGTAAACTGAACAGAAATTATATAGAACTTTGGCAACGTTGAAGAAGGGTTCTAAAGTCTGGTACAGACCTCGAAGCAAAATGTGGACACTGTTTGTAAGCTAAAGAGGGTGATCCAGCGTTACACACAACACTGGTTTAAGGTAAACAAAGAACCAACAAGACCAACACCTCTTTTAAAGATATACGAGGAGTCTTAACCACGCTTTGCGAGACCAAAATTTCTTTATTATCATGTGGAAGTTTGTTCCCTTTTTCCTTAGCAAAACTCCCGTAGGTGACAAGCTTGGCTTTCAGACGCCTAAACATAACTCTAGCCGGTTGACGCCTTTCCGGAAACATATTTAAATACATTTCTTCGACTTTTGCTTCGTTCAACATATCACTATATTCTCTATTTGTTGTATTTAAAACCCACAATTTATCAACTTCACACAACTGACAATAAAATCCATCTAATCTAACTACCCTGAAATCTTATTTTTATTTTTTCAGATTTATCTCGATCAAACATAAATGTGTTACGCATGGTTAAAAAGCATTTTTTAAATCTATATGACGCCCATAAGAAAAAAAAAGTTGACTTCGGCCGTACGCAACATAGTAGGATTATTTTTTTTGCAACGCAATTTTTAGCATCGCCGTATCTTTTTACCCATGTCATCAAAATTTGAACATTTCGGCTCCTATAACAAGTAAAATATTGTGTTTTTTTAAAATTAGACATTTTCTTTTTCACCCTGTATGTACGTAAGGGTATCCATTTAAAATAAAACAAAGCAAGATTATTTTTTGGCATATACATAGGCTACTTTTCTTACAGATTCCAATATCCCCATACCGGGTATACCATTTTGGACACTTTTACGGAGTATCTTAGTTATTTTTAAAGATAGAGTCGCGGTTTATGCTACTTTTTTGTGACGTTAAGGATCACGTCAACCAAATTGTCATAGCCCTCTTGGTTTTTGCGATACACGGTGAAATTTAATACTATCGATTTTAAGACCATCTACTTTGTTTTTTAAGATATTGAATAGTTTAAAAAGCGTTCATATAGGACTTTTTCTGTAGAATCCACTAGCGTAGTTTGTTTTTTTACATATTCTAACCGTTTTTTAGTTATGAAGCACACATATGTATTTTTTAAATGGAACACCCTGTATATTGTATTCAAACAAAAATAAGCTCAAAATTCCTTTTTTTTCATTTATTACTTTATTTGTGGCAGTGGCATTACTATACAAGAGACTCTTTATTAATTTTCGAAAAAACAGGATGAAAATAAATTTTTAAAAAATAATAATGTCTTAATGTGACAAATATTATATTACTATAAAAATAATTATAATTATATAATAAAAAATGCAAATGTGTCAAAAACTTAAGAGACTGCCAGTTTTTAATTATATTACGTGTTTATTTCATTTTAATTAATTTTGTATAATAATTATTTATACAATGCTATGAAAATGCCCAACAAGCTTGGGGATTAGATTACGACAGGTAATGGTTTTAAAGGGATATAGCCAGTAGAATTTTTATATTATACAAATGTATTTTGTTTATATGAGATATCCAGGGACACGATAACCGTTTCCAGATATATTTGTTCGTCTGAAAATAAAGCAAGTTAAGCGCGAATCCTTTATTCAACCACGTCCTAAAATTATTTGAAGGAGAATAGGGAGCAAAAAGAAACAAATGTATTAGGCTACATAGAACAAGAAGTAGGGATACCAAAATCGACTGCTCAAAGAATATTAAAAAATACAAATACCATCCATACAAGTTTAAGAGTATTAAACATTTGCACTCTGGCGATGTCGAACTCCGAATGCACTTTTGCCAGTGGTATTTGCAACAAATTCTTTTGGGAGACTTGTAATATGGTCCCACGAATATTACTTTTCACTTTCGTGAATTTTTAATCGTCATAAGACGAGGAACTGGTCGACAGAAAACCACTATTTAGTTTTTGAAAGGGGGGGGGGGTATCGTGTTTTATTAGGACGTAGATACCTAGACATTCTTGAAGAAGTCGTTCCAATGATGTATACCTTCAGCAAGATGGTGCCTCGAGTCATAACTCTGACCTTTGAGATGATTTTTAGATGACTTTAGTGTTACTTGTTCAGTGGGATAATTGCATTACTGCATGAGTCAAACTTTTTTTTAAAAATGGCAGAAAGTCGAACGTTTAGTTCCGTTATAGACTATAATAAGGGGTAAGAATTCGGTTGATATTTCAGATCAAATGGCCAGCTATAACTCAGCACTACGCAAGTCTATCAAATGGTGTAGGAAAATAGCAGAACTTCTTTTTGGTTTAACCATGGTTAAAGCACACTATCTGTACGAAAAGCGGAATGGTCGAACCTTTCCGTCGCCGATTTCCGGGAAACAAGTCCAACAAAGAAATGACCAGTGCTAGAGGGTGAGAAAGAGAAGAGAGCGAAAGATCAGACAAAGTTACACACAAAAGGCCTATTGTAAAGATTGTAGGGATCAACCTCATTATTGTTTATATGGTTTCAGTGCTTCTCATAAATAATTGTGTGCTGTGACTTCAATAGAAATAGAATTTAAACATTTAATTTTCATTTATTTGGATATTATGTGTTAATTGCTTGATTAGAATAAAGTTTTGAATACCCTGTAATATAAAATATATACTAGATGTCCACAACAATTTCATAAATAAAAAAAGTTCTTTTTCTTCTTCTTCGCCATTTGCCTTTACGAGTTCACCGTTTTTATTCTCCACAGTTCTCTTACATTCCAGTCCCCTACTCTCAGATCTCTATCAGTTATCGCATGTCCAATGTATGTCTCCCATCTTAACTCGTCCTATTCGTCTTCTCTCTGGAGGTTCCCATTCCAGTACTCATTTTGTAATGCTCTGTTTTCTCATTTCCTTGCAATCGAGCATTCTGTTCCCATTCATTGCTCAATTTCTGCAGTTCTTATTTTGTCAGTACTTGTGACTTGTAGCAATCTTCTCATAAAGTCCAACACGACCGTATTTTGTTTCTTATCGTTGTTGTCACTGGCCATACTTCTGCTTCATATAAGGCGTTATTTTGTATTAAGCTTTGAAAAATTCTATTTTTGTTTTCTTTATTAAGATTATTGTTCCATATCAGCAATGCTCTTGTGGCTTGTTTCCCTCGTGCTATTTTTATCTCTATATCTCCTAAAGATGTACCATGTCGGTGTATTGTCGATCCTAGATACTTGAAAGTTTGACAGCTATTAATAATTTCGTCCTCTAAATTCAAATCTAAATCTGAACCTTGTTGTCCAATACATAAATATTCGGTTTTATTTATATTTATTTTCAGTCCCCACAGTTCGTACTCTTCTTTTAGCTTTATTATCATGTATTCCATGTCATCTTTCTCATGTGCAAAAATAACTTGATCATCCGCGAAAAGTAGTGAATGCAACATATTTCCTTGTATCGATATGGTATACATATGGTATACATATGTGGGTGATAGTCCATATCCTTGTTTTAGCCCATTTATTATGACTATTGGTCTCGTTAATTCGTTGCCTAATTTTATGTGCCCTTTTGTATCATTACATAATCTTTCTCCCACGTTCATTGCTTTTTCTAAGGCAATGTATATCACATGTGTTTAAATGGTCTTGCCTTTATTCTTTTCTATGACCTGTCTCAAGGTAAATATAATGTCCAGGCATGATCTGCTTTTGTTTTGTGGTGAAAAGTCTTGCGATTGAGGGGATGACACAAATTCCTCTATAATTGTTGGTTGACTTCTTAA